CGACATAACATGTTTGTATCCAGAGAGTCTTATTGCACTCGATAAGTTCGGCTCACAAATGACGATTACGAGGAAAATATTGACGTACACAAATCTACGAAAATCAGCAATGCGCGATCTTTGTCTCCTGGTGTTCCACTGGAGTATTACTGCTTTTCGGACCTCATTCCTGAAGGATGGTGGTGGGTTAGCCATGGTCTATTCTGCTAGTACTTGAAGGACACTTCTGGCTGACGCGTTGTATTCATGTTGCTTAACAACACGCGAATGACGTCCACTAATTATTGCAGCATCAACACCACGTGATGATCTGCCATGGTGGCGAGCGCCTAATTAAGCATGGGGGTTCCTTAAATTTCACCCCGTGGGCTGTACTATTGGATTTCACGTGTCATCGCGACAAAGGTTGCCGTGGCTAAAATACGTAAATCTGTTGTTCGTATGCAAAACCAACGGAATCATAATCAAGCACTTCTTTTCTTCCGCTATTCCCACCAAGGGGTGACACGTTGCATTTAGTTCTTTTTTTTCTACAAGGGGAAAATCTTAGTTCAGGCAAACAAAATAATATGTAGGAATAAATTAAAATTCAGCAGATCCCTCGTACCTTGGGACTCGACGTTGTGCGAAACATGCGGGGGGAAAGTTATCGTGTTGTAATTTGTTTATTTAGTGACACGTTACGAAATTACGCTAAATATATGTAGAAATGTTGAACGCTCAGACATACGTTAAATAGTCACAGACGTTTATATAACTAGTTGTTTCCACTTGCGCAACAAGCCTACAGAACCACGAGTATTATTATCACCACCAGAAGTGATAAGCTAATATGAAACGCTGCTACTCGCAAGGATGGTAGCACTGGACACTCCTACATGAATTAACTTCAGCACATGTCCCGTAACTACAATTAACGTTAACCCGACGTGAGAGCTGAATCATAGGAGTACATATGTAATGCTTATAAAATTAGACAGCCAGTCCTTCAACAACAATTGACGTTTCCCAAACATTAGGGTCTATTTGGAACGTAGTTCCGAGAATTGGCGTGGTCCTGTGGTTGAATAATTGCTTACCACGCAGAATTCTGTGGTCCGAAACCTGCTAGGATTGACATTTATTCTTTGCCTTCATCGGGTAAGCGCTGCCGATGTCAGCTTTTCTGAAGTAAAGTAGCAAATTGGGCTAGTTGGAACATACTCATCACGGTACATTTCCCTACAACCAGTATACCAATAAAAAGCATGAAGAATACTTCCCTGCAACCGATCAAATCGTACCAGTGTATATCCGAACAAAAAAAAATGCATGACCACTGCTCTGTGTCCTCACTGGTTTATGACGCCGAGATTAGGGAAATAGAGGGCATGTTTAAGCAAATATAATGCAGCGCAAGAACCAATTAAATGAGCTCAGTAAGGAGTGTTGAATGAACTTAGTGCGGGGCTTACAAGCCACACACGTGTTGATGAAGTCTTAGTGGAAATTAGGAGGAAGAATGTGAAGACAGAGTGCGTATTACTGAGATCAATCAGTTGGCGGACCATTACAGGAATACACGAAGAATAGCGGGTGTCAAAGGATAAAAGAAGCAATCAAAAGCGACGATGGAGCAGTGTGCTATAAAGCGATTCGCCACTATCAAGCTGGACGCAGCTGGCTGAAGACGGTGCTAATTGGAGATGCTCTCAAGGCGTCTTTGTTGTACTGTCGAGCAGTCAGGCTGTGAGGATTATACTAGGTATGTGAGACACAACTGTCTCTTAAGAGTTGCCTATTGCTTTGTGCACTGTTTACTTGTTCCTAATCAAGAAATAAACGAGTCGTCCCTTTAAGCTGGCGCTACGATAACAATGTTACCTGCTTAATAAGAAATAGTTTACGAGGTAATCAACAGAAATCACAGTGTGCAATAAAGGCAGACTTAAATTCAATTATTGCTCCTACGGATAGTATGCGTTAGGAAATAAATATGACTAATTGCTTCATTTTTTTTGAGACACCGAAGGAAGAAACATGTGCCTAATAAAAATGGCACACGGACTGAATAACTCTGATGTGCTGCACGGAATGAGCAGAAATATACCACGGCGCAAACATATGCTGCGCAAGTGATAAACGTTGCGTGCCGACCTACTTATGGATACCCGTGGCGGTATTCAAGCATTGTTCCCATTACAGGTGCGGTCGTACAAGCTTGAGTTGCGTATTAAACAGAAAATTTGTGAAGTGTGATTGTTGTTAACAAGGTGCACCAGGCTTGTCTTAACCGCTGTTTATGAGAACAGCAGGCTGTATACTGAATGCATACATTATTGCTCCTAACAAGGCATGTCTGTTCATGTTGCACTGAAATAATAATGAGGATGAACTTGAGATGCGTTCTTGTGCAGTGATTTTTACATAATTTTCCTTTAATACATGTTCCCCCTATAGAGGGGTTGTTAATTACCCACTATTACTACATTAAAAGCAAAAACAACGCCACACACTTATGGTTTCTTTGACTTGATTTTTTGTTAATGTCATACGATAAAGAAAAACAAAATAAACGTCAAAAACGGGTGTCTCAATTCATTTCCTTCGTCTTTTCACAGAGAGGAATAGGCTTGATGCGTTTTGGTGGCTTTCAAGATTTTGTTGATCAGCTGCCACGTAGTAAAAATATTACGTGCTTCGGGAGGCCATCTGGTATAGAGTTTCATATTGTAAAGAAGTATGAAACTCAATGGGCAAACGAAATGTTCCACATTTGCTGCCACACCAACAAGGGGCGCTGGCTAACTTTCTAAGCGTTAAGATGTGAATAAGTAACGATGAATGCGGATGGGGGAAGGAATACCCCGTAGTTCAATTGGCAGAAAACCACGTACGTGATGCTAAGTTTGTGTGTTCGGTCCACGCTTGCGGTGAATTATTTTGTTGACTTTAATTACTTTTCGCTGTATCTCATAATTATTCCACCCCAATTTATTACTAGAAAAAGTGACCCGTATACTATCCCTGATTTTTTTTCTGCTCGTTTCACATTGTATTATCGAACAAGAGACTCACCTCTTGATCAATTTTTTCTCGTTTATTTCAATGAAGGCGTATTACATAAGGGGTGGGTTATGGCAATGTACATATATCACTGAGCCTAAACCAATAAATAGAAATGGACAAAAAGATATAATTAACATGAACATATCTCAATTGAGTTCGAGGCGGTTATGTCCTGAAGAAGGGCAGGCTAATAACGAAATGCATACGTGTCAGCACATTTGCGTCAGACAAAGAAATGAGTTACTGCATCAGAGCGATATAAAAAAATACAATCTTGCCGAGTTATGAAGACTCATAAATTTTTAGGCGAAATATAGACATGCAGCATCGTCATTGAAGTTTAAATAAGGTGGAGGTGTGAAGCATTATTGCATTTAAATTTTTATGTTGCATGGAATAACCCCGCCTCGACAACCTTCCAAAAGTGTGCGTACCACTCTTCGCGGTGTGCGCACAGCGAGTGAAACCAAATCATTACATATTTTAGCCAATAAGTGCTCTTTTTATGAACTACCGTGAAAGATATGCTCCCCACTTAACATACCTCTGTATAGGAGTAATCAATGGGCAAGATAGAAGAGCAGCGACGTGGTCAGGTGATTAAATTCGCAAGCAGAACCGCCGTAGAATGGGTAAGATTTTTAAATGATACTCGACTTGACCTTGAAACCCCAGCATGTGTCGAATTCACCACGCATGTCATAAGAATAGGAGCTCAAAGTCTTTGTCGATACTTGCTGAGGTTTTACGTCCCGAAACCACGGAATGTGAATATGAAGGACGCTGTAGTGAGGCGCCCCAGAATTTCAAACACCTAGGGTTCTTTAACGTGCAGTTAATTTGAGTAAGCGCGTAATTAGCATATATTGTCTCCATCAGAAAAGCTGAAACTATTTTTGATTGGCTGAGAGACCTTGTAAACCCTGATTATTACATTTTATAAAAGTGAGGAATGTGCTCACAATTTTCAGCATTAGAATGGTCCCGCAAGTTACACAGAGTTTCGTGTTCTGGCTTCACCGTGATAATTGAAGAACTCCAAATGAACCACGAACGCTTTAAAGAGTTTTCTGTTTTGCTTTCTAAACACACAGCGTCTTTCCCACGTTCTTCATCTCTCAGTATACAAATAAAAAAAGGTACCTTTGTGATCTCGCCACTGCTTAATGACTCACTATCAGCCAGTCATGATATCCATATGAGCAAATAAGACACCTTTCTCATTCAATGTCTCCGGATTCTAAATGTCGGGAGCAGGAATGTGTTTGCGTCATCACTTTCTACTCCGCCGCGGCCTCTGAACTTGATGAAATGAGCGCGCATTTTTTTTTTTGCGCATAACGGTCATGCGGACTGAGGTCGGCGCTCAATAATACTATCCGTCTCTTTTGTAGACGGCGAGGCTTGCGTATCACCTGCCGCAAGTGAAGCCTCCGGGTAAGCTCTTGCGTGAAAATAGCCCTCGGTCACTCCCCGATGGCGTAAAACACAGCGAGAAGGAGGCGCCTTTTTCGCCGTGCACGGCGGGCTGCTTTATGAGCGCTCCATAATGGCTCATTTGAAAGGCGCACAAATGATTACACGTCTAAAAGTAGGAGCATGCAGTGTTTTCGTTTTTAGTCTGGGCTTGCAAGTGGCCAGGAAAAGCCTTAGGAAAATATGAACGGAAAGAGAAACCCGCTGGTGCTCGTGTATAGCGCGCCGGCGGAGAACAAGAGAAGGCGTTGGGCGAGCGAGCCCGATTCGATTGTTGCCTTTCCTCAATCTCTTTCTATCGCCAGATCGAAGGAAGTAGCCGGTGGAAATTGGAGCACGTCTGCGACCGCAGCGGCGGCCGAGAGAAATGACCACGTGCTGCCTCTCCGCTGCTCACTCATGAGCGCTTGCCTCGCAACGTGTTCTTTGCTTTCCGGAAGTAGCGCCGCATATATAAGCCTCGCCGCAGCGGCGTCCGTTCGTCAGACTAGCCCCTGCCTTCTCAGTAGAAGCCGCCGTCTCAAGCAAGACCATGAGGATCCTGGTAAGCGGTCGCCGCCGCTCTGTTCTTGGTGGGGTGGCTTTGCGTCGAATTTGCACGGCACGTCAGCCGAACGTGGGACGACTCGCGGGATGATTCGTGAAGCCCCAGCTGCTGCTGCTGCTGTCGCTGTCGCGAAAAATCGACGGAGTTCGTCTCTAAGAGAGAAAAAACGGGAATGGGGAGAAAGTTTGGAAGGAAGTGGAGAAAGCTGACCACCCTCTCTGCTCCCTCAAACTTTTTGATAACTTTTCTTCATTTCTTGTTGTTTGCCCCCTTTGGTGTTCAGTATAGCTCATTAGAAGAATCTGCACGGTAGGAAAGCTTTTCGAATGAGCTATCTTCTTAATGAACATATGATTACGACTGCGCTCCAAACGCGGGTACCAGACCTTTATTGTATCTTCTATTTTATTCCCTTTTTTATGACTCTTACCCCGGCAATCGCGGGTAAGGGATTTCCCTAAAGTGAATATTGATTTTCTACTGATCAATTCGTACCAAGCACTAGCTCATCGACACTATATAAGTGAGCAAAGAGATAACGAATGAACTGAAAAAAAATGAACAAGTGCCAATATAAAAGAAATGCGATTTCAATGAAGAAATGAACGCTTCGACGGAGTTTAACGAGACCGCCACATTGCCCCTATAGGTGGTGTATTGTATTTTGCCTTTTTTGCTGATATAATATGGTTTTTATAGCCGCAGCGAAGGTAGAAAGTGGTCTTGTTTGTCATGCATTAGGTACACTAGAATCTTGTGCGCGCTAAAAGAAATATGTAGCAAAATTAATTGAATCCCTAAACTATCAGGCCTCGTAGGTTCTCGCACTTTTCAAAAGCATTACAAAAAGCCCTTAGGCTTCAATTTAAGTTTGTAATTTCGGCTACAATGATGGTCAAGAGTTCACCATCTAATCCCTTGGTACCAGGGTCTGGGACTTTTTGGTTACCCTTCTATACTTTCATCGTCTCTGTCCAAATTTTTCTGAAGGGTGTTTTCTTGTTGTAGCACTAATAGGTTGGTGTGAAGCAATATTTTTTTATTTAGTGAAAGTTAATTTAGCCCTACTGGAACCTAGAAACCTATAAACAGATAAATCAGGTTGCATGTCAGCAAAATACCAACCTTCTACGTTTAGTCACCACTTTTCTACAAATGATTGAAATAGCCGTCCAGGAATTTCAGAGGCTCACATAGAAGGACGAAAACACCATGCATTCATGCCATTTTGTCTGCGACGGGCTGGGGCGCTGAATGAGTATATCCTATTCCACGCCACATTTCAGAACAGGGTTTTGCAGTAGTACCCAGGTTGATGCTTGCGCATACAGTTTCCGCTGAAGGATTATTTGTTTTTGCAGTTGGTTTCCCTGCTCATCTGCGCTCTTGCCGGTGCCTGCATAGCCGGACTGGTCGGATACGGAGGAGGAGGAGGCTACGGAGGCGGTGGCTACGGCGGTGGTCATGGCTACGGCAAATCGCTGCCGGGACCATCCTTCCTGATCAAGACCTTGCACCACGTTAGCAAAGTGAGCCACGGAGGACCCATCCTGAGCAACTACGACCTCGGAGTCGCTTACGGACACGGGGGCGGCGGCTACGGCGGTGGCTACGGACATGGATGGCACTGAATCCGGGAGACCTAGTTATGCAGGAGACACCGTACGCTGCGTCTGTGGAGCGGCCGTGTGTGCAGAAGCGTTGCAGCTGCTACATGCCGCACGAGAGCTCGTCCTCTTCGTCCGAGACAGGTCGTCTCATAGTCAACGCGTGTCGGTTGGCGAAAACTTGCCCCGTACGCGAGCAAAGGAGATGTTGCACTAGAAAAGATGTTTAAGAAAGTCTACGACAACCGACAATGATCAGTGTACGAAAACGTAACCAGGCAAACTGTATGTAGTGATTCGAGAACGAAGTGCCACAGCGTTCCACAACAATGCCAACGTCTTCTGAAGTGTATATTTTGTACAGAGAAAACGAAATTGAGTAATAAAGCAAGTGCACTGAAAATGTCCAGAAATACGTGTCCTTATTTTGTTCTTTTGTAAATTCTTTGTAAATTCCCCCTAAGACGACTAGAACGCGACAACCATCTTTTTTTTTTTTCTCACTTGCTGTATAAGGCAGCAGGCATTACGAGCCGTGGCCTTACATGCCACTGCCAAGCACAGTCTTAAATTTCTTCTCTTGAGGTCGCACGCTCATCGGTTTTGTTCGCCACCCAAAGAAGAGCGCTACAACAGCATCATGAGGCGTTACGACACATAACTTCACGCGACAATCTTTGACGTCATTTCGGGATCTTTACGTCGTCATGACGCAGTATGGTGAATTCATCACGTGGTGATGAAGTCTTGCATCGCTCGTCCCCAACGCCGCGGGACGGTCGCCAACGACAGTCAAATTTCCCGTTAGATGAGGCATGTAAGGCTTTCGCCCTGTAATAATGTAGGATTTGCAGACGCATTGAATTCCTTTACAAGCCTCGTACACCTTACGGCGAACAAACGAGTATGAGGTCATGCTTTACAGAGCACCAGCGTGGTCATCTTGGGTGGTAAACCAGCGCAGGTACTTTGACACCTGCCCCGCCGCGGTGGTCTAGTGGCTAAGGTACTCGGCTGCTGACCCGCAGGTCGCGGGTTCAATTCCCGGCTGCGGCGGCTGCATTTCCGATGGAGGCGGAAATGTTGTAGGCCCGTGTGCTCAGATTTGGGTGCACGTTAAAGAACCCCAGGTGGTCGAAATTTCCGGAGCCCTCCACTACGGCGTCTCTCATAATCATATGGCGGTTTTGGGACGTTAAACCCCACAAATCAATACTTTGACACCTGGAAGTGTGCCTTTGCGCCGTTTTTTAAATTGTTTGAGCGTCCCGAAGCTGAGTTGCCGGGTTAAAACACCGCTTTCAATAGAATCCGACACAGAATAAAGACACTTAATTTTTACGAGTGCCAATTCTCAAAACGTTCATTAGCAAATTCGACTCTAGGGATATTGGTGTTATTTGTCTTGAGGTGGGAGTCTTCACAGAAATACTCACGCCTCATATGATGCGGCATATTCCCCTCAAAAAAGTATTATGGGTCCCTGTTGGTGGTAGTTGCCAGCCTATTCCCCCCAGATTTCTTTTTTGTGCCTCTTTGAATTTATTGTAATAATGAAATAATTGGTGTGAAACGCAAAAGTCAGCTTTTTTTGACAGTCGATAGCAGGATTGCAGTGATTGCAAGGAGAGGATGGAGGGAGGATAAGAACAACGGACGGACGAGGGGGCTAGCCAGTTCTCAGACCAGCTGGATACCCTGTGCTGGGGAAGGAGATAAGGAGAATAAAAGATGATAGAAGAGAGATGTTACAAAAAAGAAAGAAAGATGGAAAAAAGAAAGGAAAAACGAGAACAATAACACGATTGGCAGCACTGCTTAAAATTTCTATGAAAATGCTGTTTGTTAAAGATATTTGGCTTGAGTACAGTTACGACAGTTGAGCATCAATACGCGTCCATGCATCAGTTGAAGTGTCAACGAAACCAAACAGGTTGCTAAAGAACGATATGAAGCACCTTGCAACAATTGGCTGGTTTACATAAGTTTCGAAATTAGTTGTAGCAACATACCTACAGTTAGTTCCTGGGTTGTTGCAAGGTTATCTCGAGAAGCACGTTAGTATCGCTGCAGAGAGAGAGAGATTTAGCCGGCATATAAAAATCGCTGACTTGCTATTCTGTGTCGAGAAGGTGATTTGAGCAAAGCACCCCAGATTGCTTAATGTTGGTGTGTGAGTTGTGTATAAGCTCTGTTTCTGTCTGGCAGATAACTTCAAACTTCATTACACCCTTGTGTTATGACACGGCGAGCGGGCTTTCCAGCAAAAGCCTTCAGTACAAATGAAAGAACTTATTCTTTCTTTCTCATCTGCCAGCTGCAACACTTAGAAAAAGTGCAAGTAAGCATCTGCAAGCTGAAACATGGGGAACGCTTGCTGTAATTTTTTTATATGGGAATGCATTCTGGAATATTCAAAATATTAAAATGATTACTGCCCTATCAACCCAGCAATGAATATGCGAGTGCATCAGGCAATTCAAGTACGCTCCGTTTTTTTACGTCACAGAATAATTAAAAATTACTTATGAAACATAGCATCTCTCTTTGTTAAAGATTCATAACTTAAAAAGGCAAATATTAGTTGTTCTATAGATTGAAGGACACATTCGACTAAATGGCAACATTTCACTAATTATGCTCAATTATTTAAGACGCACGTTACAATTTACGACTGAAGTTCGACAGTTCGCAAGCTGTTTCCCCAGAAAAAAATGTTCTCCGTACGATACTGTTTTCCAGATATTCATTCACAAAATACAAGAGCAGGTACCGATTGGGTATATGTAAACTGGTAGTGTAAGTTCCATTGAAGCTGATGTGCCCAGTAGTTGGTGGCTCGCTGCCACCATCGCCATCTACGTATGGAGGGAACAACTAACGACAAACAAAAAATAAGAAATAAATATGACGCCACAATCACAAGCAGTGGCGAAGCAGTGCATTTGCCCTACATGGCGGAAAATTGATTTTTTTCATTGCTGACGTTTTACGTGTCGTTATAAACACGTACTTTTATGGCCCATTATGATACGAAAATTGCGCGCGCGAGAAAAAAAAGAAGACCATCAAGAAAGATTGAATTATCAAAATTGTTTAATTAGCAAAATAGTGTAAACCTTTGCTGATAAAATTGTGACATAACTCGTCACACACACAATAGTACAATAGTTCGAGAACTCACGCTGCCCAATTGTGCGAAACCACTGCAGAAAGACAGCAGCCTTGCGAATATCCCTTTGGCAACCATAGTGTACAGCGTATTGTCACTTAGGATGTCACATTGACCGTCTCCAAAAGGCGAGGGCGCGCTGGCCGTGAGCCAGCGAAGGCAGTCGGCAGGTCACAAGAGCTGCTATCTACACATTATGTGCTAGTTCAGCTCTGAAATCTCACGCCAGTGCACAGCACATCAGCAAATAAATAAAGTATGGAAGTTACGCACGAAACTACCTCGCAAAAGTGAGCGATGACTCATTGACCCAGCAATGGACTGAACTAAACACAAGCCGTGATAGCAAGTAGCCTAAATAGCCACCCCCCCCCCCCCCCCCCATAACTATGGCACTCGAGCAAAAATTGAGGCAATCAACAATTTATTCAAGTGTCAGTTAAACCTTAAAGTGCATGTAGAGTTGCCTTTGTCATATAGAAAATTACGACTATTAAAAATATATATTATTGAGTTCTAAGTTTCGGTTATTTTGCACTTCCTCACCTAGTCGTGCTTCAATCGTCAGCGGGCGTTGATGCCTGTGCCAATAGGTTTCCGCCACTTTCGTTCCAAGTTTTTTGACCCTTGTAATTTTACCATGAAAGTACTATCGGCGTCAAATGAAATCCCTACAGCGGCAAGCCTTAACGATGATATAGTGCGCGCCGTCCGCTTATGCCCATGTACAGGCACGCATACATATTGTGCTGAGCTCCCAAGCAGGATGTGCGCTCCAGTCAGTGGTGATGATAACTTGACGGGGTGCACTGTACTATCACGAAGGCTTGCCGCTGTGCGAATTTCATTTAAAGTTGATATACATTGGCCTTTTGTAATTATTCTGTATTTATTTTACCAGCTTTTACTGTGAACGTAAAAGTACACCGCAAGTTTGCTGGTGCGAATCTCCAAGCCTCTGCAGTTTCCCGAATTTACACTAAGCGGAAAAACCTTGTAAGCTGATCCGCTACAATTCGTGATATGCAGTATGTGCCGTAAATTAATAAATAGTTAAAAGTTTAATGAAACAATACTGTTATTACATAATTCAGTGTTTCGATTGTTTCGATTTATTGGGGCTTCCACATTTAGCAATTGTTTTACCAGACTGAAACTCTGACCTGAAAATTTATTGTGAAACTTTATTTCAGCTGTTAGTAGATGCATCTGGCACAGTGACCACAGTTATCAGTAACAAGAAGCATCTCTTACTGGCTTTCATGTCTTGTGTGAACCACTATGAGTTCTGGCAAGGTACGCCACTGCTGTAAATAATTTGTTCATTGTTTATTGACCAAATTATATGAACTGACTGACTGACCGACTGACTGACTGACTGATTGACTGACTGACTGACTGTGACTGACTGTGACTGACTGTGACTGACTGTGACTGACTGACTGACTGACTGACTGACTGACTGACTGACTGAAGATAGGTAGAGAAGGGCTGCGCCTTTGCTTGACCAGCCTTGTGTGGTTTGTTATCGTTGTCCAAATACTAGGCTTCTGCCTTCCACAACAATATGATTACAATTATCAATTCCGGCTGCCTACGCCACAGTGTGAAATGGTACTTGGTCTTCGTGCCGAACATGTGACACTGCATTCGATTCATCATCGTACTTCAATTACTCATATTAAGAAATGGATGAATAAGTCCAAGCGAACCATGCGTTTTGCCATGCGTTTTGCTTTATACTACATTCACTCCAATCATTTTCCCATCCAGACCAGCTGGTCTCTATGATGATGCATTATACACCGGCGTAATCAGTTGGTGTTTCTCTCTCGCCATTATGCATGCGTTTTTCGAAAACAACTGTTTAAATTAGGCTGCGCTCATAAGCAGAGAAAGATCTGACCTCCTGAACACTCTAAGCGTTGATTATTCTGGACAGCATTCGCATCTAGCTGCATCTGATTTGCTTCGGGGCATTGCCAGCTCTCGGCTGGAAAGCACGAGTTATAACAGCATATAGATTGCAAATTTATGCGCGTTATCGGCCACGTCCACAGATAAAACCCTCAGCAACGACGCCTATTACGAAAACACGGTGACACGCCAGTGAGGCTAGTCTCTCTGCATAGCTTCACCACAATTCATACTACGAGCGGCCAACGCTCTCTTTGCGAGCACAGGGCCGGGCCAGTCGTCCACCACCTCCTTGTACCCTTCGGCACACGGCGTTTGCGGTCG